TATTAAAATAACCGTCAATATTCAAGAGACCAATGGGTTTACTGTGCAACCCTTCAGATGCCCATGAGATCAAAGTGAACAAACCTTCCATAGTATCAATCCCTCCAGGAAGTACGATGAAGGCCTCCACTACATGATTCATCTCGAAATGCTTATAGTAATTGCTTGAAACTGTGTATTCTGCACCATACGTAGGTCCGTAGACCTGTCGTGCTGCTATGTACCCTGGTATGAAGCCTCTAACTATACCACCATTGGTATAGACTGTTGAAGCAACAGCTCCTTGAAGGCCAACGTTGCCTCCTCCATAGGTAAGTCTAATTTTTTGCCTTACCAATTCCCTTCCTAAATCCACCGCCATAGCCATGAACTTTGGATTTCTACCAAGAGAATGACTACCAAGTAGACCAACGAATTTTATGGTGTAAGGAAAAGTTCGAGATGTTCCTTCCATAATGTGAGAATGTGAAATGCTCTGGCCACAATCGTGATATATATAGGCTCTGAAAACCTGACCTTTGAAAAAGGGTAGTTATCCTCCGTCAAAATTTGTACAGCAAAGATGGATTTGATTTACCTACAGATGAGGACGTGCTAGTTAATGCTATAGTCTGCTTATGATATGACATATTGAGACTCATGAACAATTAGATTCGCTGTCCTGAAATACGTTAAATCTGAGACGAAAAGTCAAAATCGCTAATGCCTTAAGACAACGACCATTTAAGTAACTTGAAAGCTTACGATGTATGAATTGATATACCTTCCAAGTTTTCAAGTAGGCCTATCATGAACCTTCTATGAAGGATATTGAAGAACTTTTCAATCAAGAAAAGAAATTCCGTTGAGCAATGACGTGCAAACGAGACTCGTGATTGAATGAAGTTATGTATATGTCAAGTATGCAATACTATACACTACGAAGGAACTTTTGTCATCAATACCAAAGGATCAGTGAAGACCTTGCTTAATCGAAAATTGTTAATCTCTCAAAGGTTGAGCGAGTTTGGTGACATCAACGATTTGAGAATGCGTATCTATGAGACGTAACCATGTGGATATGATGCAATCATGATTAGATATGAATACAACAAGATGTTCATTGTGGACCTTAGAAGAATTTCGAGGACGAAATTCTTTTAAGGGGGGTAGAAATGTAACGCCCCAAAACATACCTTAGAATTATTAATAGATAATTATTAAAATAAATCAAATTTGTTTTGATTAAAACAAATTGTTATGGGCTTTGGGCCGATAAAAATATGTTTTGATATCCCATATCACAAATCAGGATAAGTCTCAAAAAAAAATCCAATATGTTGACTAATTGGGTAATCTTGGTTGGGAACCTGAGTACGGACCCAAATTAAGAATAAATGAAGAAATTGTTTACTTTGAAATGATTTATTGAAATAAATCATGAGAGTAAATAATATGAATTGAATATAACACCTTTTATAGTAAAGGTCAAACAAATCAATTTTGACTCTGTCAAAGTCAACCACCCAAAAATATGATGTCGGAAAAAGTATTACAAATAATTATGAAAAGTATATCGTTGGATAGAGCTCGACTGTCTGATCGCAACGGTGCAAACAGATTTCAATTTGGAGAAAGTTGGACCAAAAAGTGTACCCCGACTGGAACCAAAATAGGTCCCAATCAGGAAACTGTTTAGATGGCGCCTCCTTCCCCACTACGCCGATCGCAGAATTGTGGAGTCACCATAGTTGTTTTCTTCTTCTCTCCTTCTCATTATATAAGAGAACCCAACCTTCTCATTTCTTCACCATTCTTCTTCATTCTTCTTCCTAAGTGTTCATGAAAGTGTGAGGAGTGTTGTGGTGCTGTCAATTTGGTGTGAAGTCGCTGGAGTTGGGAGAAATACTCGCCGGAAGTTTCGCCGGAAAATTTCCAAAACCTCCGTTAAACTTTGAAGTAAGCCCCCGTAGATATATCTAATGTAACACCCTAATCCGTCCAGGTCTGCAGCCCCTTTCAAACTAAAGTATTAACTTTGGAATTCATAAATTTAAAACTTTTCAAATACTTTTATTCATCATAAATATTATTTAGTACATAATTGTAGCAAAATGCAGAGTGTTTAACAATAATGCGGAAGCAATTTAAACCATGTTTAATAACAACATAATTATTTATTTAAAATCACAAATTTCACCACGACAATCTCGCCCCTTGTGCTGCCAGGAACAAGCCAATCATTCATTCAGTCTACCTGCGTGTAGCAAATAAAACATACTACACGCTCAGCGATGAAGCTGAGTAAGCATATCTAGAGCGTCGAACATCCACATAAATTGAATCTCAATTCACAAACAACCATTTGATATCATGCACACAATATATAATTCATTCATGATATTTTCAATTGTTTAATATTCAACATTCAATACTTAACAATATCCTTAACTAGGCTTAGTCTAAGGCCAAACCTTTGATGAT